TGAATCAATAAAACTAGTTTCAACATTGCAAACCTGTTTTTAACAGAAATAATGCTTTTCAAACAATGTTTCCTTAATAGATTTCCAAACTATAGGCCCCAAATAATCTTCCCCAATGCATCCATTTTAAAATGTATTAATGTAAAAGTATGCAGAGTTTATTCACGTAGTGCATATCGAATCCATAAATAAGTCTGTGTGCACATAAAGGAAATGCCTTTGTTGATATTTTATTATATTCACATAAAATTTTGGATGGATATAATGAGATGCTATCTAGAAACAAAGTCTAGAACAGAAAATAATCTCCACATAAAATATGTCAGGCTTGAAATAAAATTTAGTAATCAAATTTCAAGCCTCCAGAATGAAAGCCTATTTCTTTAAGTTTTTATTTTTAATTTCTGTGGGCATGTAGTAGGTATATATATCGATGGGGTACATGAGATGCCTTGATTCAGGCAAACTATGCATAATAATCACTTCAGGGTAAATGGGGGATCCATCACTTCAAGCATTGATCCTTTGTGTCACAAACAATCCAACTAGACTCTTTTAGTTATTTTTAAATGTACAATAAATGTATTGTTGGCTGGAGTTACCCTGTTGTGCAAAAGGTTTTATTTTTTTCTTTTCTTTTCTTTTTTTTCAGACAGAGTCTTGCTCTGTCACCCAGGCTGGAGTGCAGTGGCGCGATCTCCATGCACTGCAAGATCCCGGGTTCATGCCATTTTCCTGCCTCAGCCTCCCGAGTAGCTGGGACTACAGGCGCCCATGCCTGGCTAATTTTTTTTTTTTTTTTTTTTTTTTTTTTGTATTTTTAGCAATGACGGGGTCTCACCGTGTTAGCCAGGATGGGCTTAATCTCCTGACCTTGTGATCCGCCCGCCTCGGTCTCCCAAAGTGCTGGGATTAAAGACATGAGCCACTGCGTCAGGCCCAAAAGTCCATTTCTAAAGTAATAATTAAAACATGATTGACAAGGGATGCTGATACATCCCTTCCCAACTACCAGACTTGCTTAACTCATTCTATCTCACTAATGAAGAGTTTAATAAGAACTAAAAGGTTATGACAGTATAGTTAATACTCGGGATCTCTCCCTTTTACTTGACTGCTCACAACTACTATAGGTTATATTTTCACTATTTTTTGTTGTTTAGACAAGTTGACTACTAGACATTTTAGAGCGATTTGTCTTCCTGAAAAAAATCTCAAGTAACTTAAAACAACAGTGATGCTGTATTTCATGAACACATCAGAATTCAATCCATAAAAGCAAAATGGGCAGGAAGCATGAGAAAAAGATAAATATTTAGTTTAACTCAGATAGGCCTCATCTCCAATTTAGTTCTTCTTAATTGAATAGCTCTGTATGCTCTTCATTCTAAGAGCTTTATTAACATTCTTTAGGAGAATGAATAGGTAACCACATACACATACATATCTAAATGTGAAGAGGAAGGTAAAGGTACCTCTACTGATGTCTAGAATCATAAAAGCCAAAATTGAGCTGGATTTTTAATAGCTACAATTACAGTTATGTATATTAAATAACTGTCAATAGAACAAAGCAGGAACAGGCGGACAAATCCGTGTAGACACACAGCATTTATGACCAGACTACTCCTAAATCACTCAGAAGTAAACATCTCTTCTGGCTATCTCCTTAATAGTTTCCACTATGTCTCCTAAAAAAGTAAATTGAACTTTAGTTATTTAATGTTAACAACAGCATACAACTAATGAGTATAGCCAGATCATAATTACAGGAAAGAATTAAAAGGTAAAAAAAAATTTTTTTTACATATTTCCCAGGACCTTCTCTAGCTTTCAAGTCACTATGCAGAAATCAAATTATTTTTACTTCTTTAATGAATGAAAAAAATATATTTTTAGATCATCTTTATGCACGTCTGCCCCAGTAAAGACTGATATCAAATAAAGGAAGACTGCTTCCAGGCTGAGCCATCCTTTGCCTCCCCCAAGTTCCTTACAATGACCTAGGGAAATAACAGAGGGAGGCTGAAAATTTTCTAAGCAATGGTATTAACAAGATTTAGAAATAACAAAGTGCTATATAACTGAAATTCAAGGAATTATTTTTATCATTCAATTCAAATAATTGCTCATTCCCAGTATAACTAACACAAGCAGTTTTTTCTTAAGCTACATCCCTTCGGCTCTGTGCCACCTATTGCTGACTCATTTTCTCCCTCAAGTCGTAATCTGACATCCATTTTCATCTAATTTCACCCATGTAAATATGTTATAAAAAGGGACACAAACAAACATGTTCATACCACCATCACTACCTACAAGAGTCCTGATAGGCTGGTCTAATTACATACTGAGATTAAATTGACACTGAAATTATCAACATGAAATCAAGAAGAGTATTTGGAAAGGAGGGGCAGGCTTCAACAAATATGCAAAAGGAGAGTGGGTCCAGAACATGATTAAAATATCTTTGAACTGTCCCCTAGATTTCTCTGCAATCATAACTAGCCATCAAAAGGATCTTCTTGGATCTAGTCTAGCCTCTCTTCCTACAAAGTCTATGCTGTACCATTCTGTCATCCACATGCCCAGAGTCCCTCAAACTTTTTAATCATATCTGGCTAAATGCTGCCTCTTCAGTCTAAATAATAGGGATAATAACAGCAACAACAATAAATGTGTCGATGTCTCAATATGCATCAAGTATTTCGCGTGTATTTCCTTATTTAGTCTTTTCAATAGCCCCACAAAGTAGGAGATAATATTTATGCTGCATTTTACAAAGAGGGAAAACCAATGTTTAAAGAGATTATGTCACCTGCATGAGTCACACAACTGGTAAGTGGCAGAGCAGAGGCCCAATCCCAGATCTGTCTAGTTCTAGAGTCCATTACCTTAACCACAAAGCTCTACAGTGTCTGTAGATACAGCTAAAAGTGCTCTAAGAATCATTTAGTCTAAGTCTTCCATTTAACAAATCAGGGACTGAGGATCCAAAGACTCTGGCATGGTCTCTTATAAGCCCTAACTCCAAATGAATGCATCATAGCATTTAACATATCCACAGCTCAATCCTTTGGCTTCAATGACTAATTTCCCTGATTCCCCACTAAACTATCACTCTGACTCTCTTGCTGACTCGTTTCTCTGTCCACATCCTAAACATCAGAATTCTGTAGGAATCCATCCTCAGCCTCCCACCTGGTTAGGTTATTCCAGGGCTTTACAGCCTTCATAAGGCAATGCCCAAACTGATAAACACATCTAATCCCAGCTCCCAGCTCCTCCCTCTCCATCTGATGAACATATGATAGACCCCATTCCTTTAAATATCCACTTTACACTTATAATTTGCATCCATCCCAAGCTTTCAGTTAAAGACTCAGAAATCCCAATTTCCTACTTGACGTCTCATAGACTATACTCATGTGTAACCAAAGTTTAACTCCATCTTTTATAGCAAACATACACCATCTCCTGCAATCATTCAGCCCCAGCTGTCTTCCCCTGAGGCAGAAACAAGATGGCACTGGATTTGATACCTTCTCTCACAGTCTGTATCTAGTTCTCCCCTAAACTCATCGCTTTTATCTAAATGTCTATGATGCAAGTAAACTTCTCCATTCTGATGGCATTCTCTGGGCTAAGTTCTTAGATTTTGTCACATGAATTACTGCATTTCATTTCCCTGCCTTAGATTCTCCCCACCTCTAATCTAAGCTCTCCTTGCCTAACAGAGTTACTATTTTAAAGGAGAACTAACTATTCCACTCCGATCCCCACATCCTTTCCTAACAACCTCAGAATAAAAACCTGCCCATGAGAATGGCACTGAAGATCCTTCTCTTGTCTACTTTCCACCTTTTCTTCCATTTTCCCCCTCATCGCTCTGGAATAATTGCTGTTCCCAGAATATACTTGCCATCTCTCTAGTTCTTAAGTTTATACTTGTGTTTGAAACTAATTCCTTAATCCAAGTGTCTTACAATCTCTGTTATCTTTTATACAAACCCTACTGACACCATCGACATCTTCCTAAACCTACTGAAAGCGGCATTTTTAGCTTACGGAATGTTTCCAGGGGATGTATGTCATTCCCGACTATCATCTAGGTCTACCTGGGAACAGAGGTTAAGACCCAGTACCCAGGTTTCAGAGGTACTTTTCCTGAGATTATGCAGCTGGTTAAATGGCTATTTTCTAAATGGTCTCTATATATTTTTATTAAATTATAAAAATAAATAATCATTAACTAATAGTTACCTAAGTGTCCATGTTAATATGACACATATCCACTAAAAGATTTAAAGATATGTAACAAACCATCCACACAATGCCTTCTCTCACTGCAATCTCTTATTTACATATTCATCTTACTACATTCATTAATTTGTGAGGTAGAGCAGTAGCAATCAAACTATCCTAAATATTTTTATGGTTTTGTAATATTTGTGCACTTTTCTCGGTAGATTCATACTATTTTAATCTTGTCCCAGTGCCAAATAAATTAACATGAGAGAGGTATTATATCACATTAAATATGAGAGAAAGTGATCAATTCTATCATCTGTATCAATAAATGAGAGGTCATAGCAAAGGGTCCTAAAATTGTATGCAATTTGAGAACTCTGACTTCAAAACTGAGTTTGAGATTACACATTCTAAAAAGAAAATTAATCAAAACTAATGAGCATTTAGTGAAGTTCTAAGTAGTTTAATGCAATGTGGTCACTCTTTCCGCTTGGTTTATTTTGTTCAGCGTTTCTTAATACGTTTTAATTATACAAAAATCTTCAGTTCTTCTATTGGTAGGTAATAGAAATATAACATGAGAAAAAGCTAAGGGGGGGCAACAAATGGATCACTTCAGTGAACCAATGAATGTCAGTAACCCATCCTGTCTGATGCTACTGGCCTGAACAAATAGATCCCTAGTTTTTAAAAACATTACATCAAAGCAAAAGAGTGCAAGTCTCAATGCAATGAGCTCGGGTACCAACCTCCGCTGCTCTTCACCATGTTCTCCTGAAGGGACAGTGAGACACTCGTCCATGTGTCCATGCAGCAACCTGAGGACATCACCACCAATGAGATACCCTGTAAAAATTAAAAATCATTCAGTTTGGACTGTCAGGGTCAGATGTTGTTAACTGGACAGAAGGGACATCTGGTCCGATCTACTTTCATAAAGAAACTGAAGTCTAGTGAATCTTAAGGACCTAGTCAAGGTCACAGAGATAGACAGTGCCTGCTGTTCCCTCTGAGTCCCAGGTGCCTGAGTCCCACAGTTAGGGATATTCCCACTAAAAGCAGGACCTCAAACACATAAAATCCTCTGTTAAACACACAAACACATTTCAATCAGATATGAACCTATATAAGTTGTAATAGCCAGAATATATACAGATATTTCCCTAGGAAACCCTGATTCTTTGTAAAATTCCTGTGCCGGCTATAAGGCTTGACCTCAGAAAACAAGAAATCTTGACATTAGTCCAACTAGGCAACACCCTGAGGTCAAAAAATTGAAGAAAACAACCCATAGGAAGCTATCACAGAAAGCACACACAAATAAACTAAAGCTGACAGTAGCATAAAAATAATGGAAGATTAATGTTCACCCAAGCTTCACTTTTAAAACAGCAATTTAAACAAGATCCTCAAATGTCAGGTATCCACATTACAGAATATTTAGACACAGACAAAAAGCTCTAATTAACAATCAGCTCATTATCACAATTCCAAAGATGACTGTCAACTTTGCATCAAGGACAGGCCATCTAATTGAAGTGGAGTTTTTACCTTGGGCTGCCTCACTTCCTGAGCTGATTGGGGCCACGCTCCAGAGAGTCTGCTGGAAAGCGGCATCCACATGTAAGCTGCCGTTGCCGTAAGACAAGTGCTGTATCAAGAGGCAAAAGAAGGCATCACTTCAGGCTCTGGTAAGCTGTAATATGTAAGCGCTTCTAGCAATGCAAACTTAACATTGCTGATTTGGTTATGTTCATAGAGAACATCTGTTTCAACCTGTCATTCAAGAATCAAAAAACTAGTCAGAAGAAAAGAAGTTCCTCTCTGAATTTAGGGATTTTAAAACTTCATTCGAACAGTTACTGACTTAAGTCAATAATCAAAATATGCATAAATGAATACACTAAATAAGTTTATTTGTAACAAGATACTATTTTTGTTTTAAGGGTGATTGATGAACAAAATGAGCACTTAAAATTATAATTGGGTTTTCCACATATCACACTCTGACAGCTTTTTGATGATGAAGTAAGTGAAATCTATTGGACCAAGTTTACTGAGTCTTCATTTTATGAAGTCCTCAGGCATCTTACAGGGTCTTTTACGGAGTCCTTCAGGAACTGTTATCTGCAATTTGATACAAAAGCCATTAGATGGCGATATTTCCTAACAGCTATCTAAAACCAAGCTACATTTCTTCCAAAATTCAGGTATTACCAAATTTCAGATTTTCCTTCTTAGAAATAGAAACATATTAAAATAAAACATACTTAATATCTTTTACAGCCATAAGACTGAATTATTGAATGTTAACTAAGAAAAACAAAATTATGAGTACAGCCATATGCCTTGCTTATTTTACTAATCATTACTAGGCTGCCTCTAGAATTTCAAACACATATACAGCAACCACCTGTTTTTGTGGAGTCTTCTCAGTAAACATTGCCAATATCCCTGCAATGTTTCTGTAACACTTTGCCAATGCTGATGATAGCCTAAGTTTTCACAGACTTTAATCAGACCAGAAATCTTGGCCATCTTAGTTAGATGAAGATCAGTCACAGCCTAAAGTAGTCACCTTAGGTGTACTCCAGGCCTTTTAAACATCCTAAGGATCTCTTTAACATAAAGATACTATTCTCAAATCACCATCAAGAAGAGGTCGTTCACTCTCTTTCTCTTAAAAATAAAACCAAAGAAACTTTTAACATTGTGATATGTATATAGGGTTTATCAGTCGTTTCTCCAATTAGTAAGACTGAAAATTTACCAGCTAATACATAAGATTTAGCAATAATTTGCTCTTATGCCTCTCCTCAACCTCAGCTAGCTGCCTGCTTTTGTACAATTTCTTCTTCACTTCAATCTGTCATTCTTACATGTAATCCCAGCTAAGATTCCTTTATTGACTCAATTTCTTCTCCAATATGTTAAAACTGTTTGTTTACAAATAAATCATATCCCACCTGCTTTAACAAACAAGCAGAATATATTTCCCTTCAAAGCAATTATCACACAATGAAATTCTTGGGATTATTTTCTTTTTTCCTTTTAGAAGTTATCTGACACAGGTTCACAGCTGTATTCCTAGCATCTGGTAACGTTATCCAATAACCATGTATGTGGAGAAGATAACCAAAATCATAAAATCAAAGTATCATAAACTTAAAAATACATATTTTAAGCTATTCCATAAATACTTAGTGTAAAAAAAAAGCACGTGCACATGCGCACACACATATCCATGTGAATGACACCAATTTTAACCAAACTCTGAAAATAATTCAAAATACCCATGCTTATATTTGTGACCAAGTAAAAGCTCATGTAATATGATACGTAGATTACCATCATTTGTTAATTCATCATGGGTTCACTGAATGTACTATGTATATTAATAGTATACATTCTCCACCCCAAGGGTGCTTGTAATCTCATAGAAAAAATTCATACACGAAATGCTGTACCTCAGTATATAAACATATCACATGTGATATTTTGATACGTGCACACAGTGTGCAGTGATCAAATCAGAGTAATTGAGATATCTATTACCTCAAACATTGCATGCTACACTTTTTATATACTGAGGTGGAGCATTTTGTGCATGTATTTTGTGTATGTATATGTATATGTAAAACATATACATATGTGTAAATATGTAAAACATATACATATTTATGGGCTACATGTGATATTTTGTACCAATTATGTACAAAATTATGTACCAATTAAATTAAAAAAAAATAGGGCCGGGCATGGTGGCTCATGCCTGTAATCCCAGCACTTTGGGAGGCCGAGGTGGGCAGATCACGAGGTCAGGAGATCGAGACCATCCTGGCTAACATGGTGAAACCTGTCTCTACTAAAAATACAGAAAATTAGCTGGGCATGGTGGCGGACACTTGTAGTCCCAGCTACTCGGGAGGCTGAGGCAGGAGAATGGCGTAAACCCAGGAGGCAGAACTAGGAGTGAGCCAAGATCATGCCAGTGCACTCCAGCCTGGGTGACATGCCAGAGCGAGACTCCATCAAATAAAAAATAAATAAATAAATAAATAAATGGATCTGGAAGGTGGGGAAAAGCCTTTAAAAATGCTGTGTAAATCGTAATCAACGTGCTACAGGAATTGTAAGAAGAGAACACTCCAGACAACAAAATGAGAGTGGAGTTTCTCATGGGTTGGGGGCTTTGAGGGAGTCAGTAGGATCACTTGGCCTGTGTCTCACGTTTATATCTTTGGAGATGCTGTCCCCAAACAAGTGTCTACATACGTTGGATTTGAGTATGTGGATCAATAATGTGAATGTGCTATGTGCAAATATGTAAAACATACCAAACACTTTTGTAAACCATTTGGGAATTTTTATTTTTAACATACCAGAAACCTTGCTATCGGAAGTGGGCTGAGCCCCCTGGCCCTCTCAGAAGTTCTGAGAAGGGAAATGTGTGATAAGGGGAATGTGTTGAAGACAAGAGTGTGAGCACAGAGGTGGAGATACGGGGACATACATTACAGCCCAGAGCTTCGTCTTTGGAGCTGACAGCACATGCTAAGAGGTGGAATCACTGATAGGCCCACAGACAAAGGCTGGCGCCAGGCCAACGACCTTCTATTTTAGGCAATAAGGTGTTTACAGCAGTGACAAAATAGGGTGAGGGAGTTAAAAAAGCCATTTCCAAATCATATATATGCCTGAAGATAAATAATAAATATGAGAGAACCATAAACATGAAAATTTCAGTCTGTGGGAAAAAGTCCCAAATATGTCCTTAAGATTATATTACAATCACAGAAAGTTCTCTAAATAAGGTCTACTCTTCTAAAGAAAATATTCTATTTTGAATGCTTCCAATTTTGCTGCTTAAACAGCAAAGGGAAGTCTGGGTAAAAACTACATCACATCAGGCTTGTGGTATGCAATATTCAGAAAGCAACAACAGTTTCAATTACTGAAATTGGGATGAATTATCCTTAAAGCAAAAACAGACATTGGCAGAGGATGAAAGCCAAGTTGGCCTTAGGCTGAAATATGGAACCACTGTAGGATTTACAGGAAAATATGGTAGCATCAATCCACCAACAGCAGTACAGGGGCTTTAGCCACCAACCTCTGGGCACCCAGGTCTCACTTTGATCCTAGGATTAGTGATTTTCAAGCTCTAATAGGCACATGAATCTTCAGAAGACACCGTATTTAAAAATGTAGATTGGAGGGCCAGGCGCAGTGGCTTACACCTGTAATCCCAGCACTTTGGGAGGCCGAGGTGGGTGGATCACAAGGTCAGGAGTTCAAGACCATCCTGGCTAACACAGTGAAGCCCCATCTCTACTAAAAATACAAAAAATTATCCAGGTATGGTGGCGGGCGCCTATAGTCCCAGCTACTCGGGAGGCTGGGGCAGGAGAATGGCGTGAACCCGGGAGGCAAGAGGTTGTGCTGCAGTGAGCCAAGATGGCACCACTGCACTCCAGACTGGACGACAGAGCAAGACTCTATCTCAAAAAAAAGAAAAGAAAAAAAAAATGTAGATTGGAATGCAGAGTCGTCGGAGGGTTTGTCAATCAAGACTGCTGATCCAAGAGTAACAAGACATTACATGAAAGAAGCACAACATCTCCGAAATGGAAGGGACATGATAAATCGCCTTACACAGATTATACTTTGATACCTTTAGTTTCCTTTCTGATCCATGTATTTTATGCATTTTACCATTTTTATGATGAAGTCAATAAGTTTTATCAGCCTGCAATGGAAGTCCATGGTACAAAAACTTCGTACCAAGAATCTCTGAATTGAACCCTTATCTGATGCAATGATTCCCTCATTTATTCATCTTTTATTAAACTTCCAGGTACTTCGGCCCTGGTGATGCAACATTCCGAATACATTGTCATTTAGGGACAGGAAACACAAGTAAACAAGTCATATTACTCCTCAGGCATCAGTTTTTTCTTCTGAAAAAAAATAAATAAATAAATGAGGGGCAGAGAAACAGTTGTTCTTTCCAAATGTAATATTTTATGGTTCCATTACTTGATCCACAGAGGAAAGAAAGGCTCAAGGCAAATTAATCAAAAATGAATTGGTTCATATAATAAATCATTCGAAAATATTTATGATCACTCTTTTATCATTATTTTCACACAACTTGAGGCAATTCAGCAATTTATTATGCAATCAATAATTACCCATATTTTGTATTAGACATTTAGAGGTGGGTAAGAAAGAAGTAAATTTTTTGAACTGTAGAATAGCTTTCTCTTAAGCATTTTCTCATAATCACCCTTTAGATTAAGCATTCTGTTTTTCCCAATATATTTTCAATCAGTTGTTTGTTTGGCAATGTTTTCACAGATCTGAAAAACTTGGCCTGTTTCATTAAGTAACCTGATCAGTAGAAAATCAGTTGGAAATCTACATTTCCAGAGCAAACAATCCAATCCTCAGACTGAAAACATTTGTACATACTGGAGTGATTTTTACACCTAACACACAGAAAAAAAATTGTTTTGTAAGTTTTATTTTGTTTAGTTTGAAATAAATTCAGTCAGTAATATCTACTTGGCCATGTTTTCTCTATTTTAAGTTGTATATTTCTCTTAAGGTGCTTTGCTAAGGCCTTCTTTAAAAGAAAATAAGATTTTCAATGAGCAAAAAAATTTCTTTCCTTTTGGATATTTTTGAAAAGAAGATTAATGTATCATTTGACATTAGAATATAAAACAGCAAAAATGAGAAAAGACATTATCTGGGTGAGGCGTTTACAATCATTTTTAGAGGCTGAGACCCTCTATACCTCAGAAATTGTGCCCCAATGTTCAATGTATACAGCAGACAACGGTGGATCAATCCCAGGTGCCATCCACAGCATCCTCTGCTGTCCACAAGGCATCTTCTCAGAGGACAGGGTGAAAACCAACCCTCCAAACCAGCTCTCATCAATTTAGCATTGTAATAGTTGTAAGCTTTATGAGTGTACCCCATGCACTATTAGTTTAATCTTAGCTTAACCATCACTGTTAGTGAAAGAAAAATCCTTCATCGGTCAATAGACACCGATGACTACAGAGCTGTAAAATCAATGACTGGAAATGTTTATTTTTAGAAGGTAGTTTTAACTAATTTGTTATCAGACATTTTTAAACTTACTTATTTTTAACAACATCAGCACCTCCTCAGATGAACCTTGCTTTCACCTGATAGATCTTTATTTAATATCACCTATAATATTCCTTCCACTGTCTTCTAGTTAAACATCTGTTGTTTCTTTAAGCACTTTTTTTTTTTTTTTTTTGAGATGGAGTCTCAATCTGTCACCTAGGCTGGAGTGCAGTGGCATGAGGCACGGTATCGGCCCATTGCAACCTCCACCTCCCCAATTCAAGCGATTCTCCTGCCTCAGCCTCCTGAGTAGCTGGGATTACAGGTGTGCACCACTAAGCCCAACTAATTTTTTTTTTTTTAAGACGGAGTTTCACTCTTGTCGCCCAGGCTGTAGTGCAATGGTACGATCTCAGCTCACTGCAACCTCTGCCTCCTGGGTTCAAGCAATTATCCTGCCTCAGCCTCCCGAGTAGCTGGGATTACTGGCACCTGCCACCACGCCTGGCTAATTTTTGTATTTTTAGTAGAGACGGGGCTTCACCATGTTGGCCAGGCTGGTCCTGAACTCCTGACCTCAGGTGATCCACCCGCCTTGGCCTCCCAAAGTGCTGAGATTACAGGCATGAGCCACCAGGCCTGGCCTAATTTTTGTATTTTTTTCAGTAGAGACAGGGTCTTGCTATTTTGGCTATGCTGGTCTTGAACTCCTGGCCTAAAGTAATCCGCCCACCTTGGCCTCCCAAAGTGCTGGGATTACAGGCGTGAACTACCATGCCCAGCTTCTTTAACTATTCTTAACAGGCACAAATCTCCCAAGTAAATAGTGACAGTAACTTACTAAACAATTTTTATGTGCCATTCACAGAACTACGAGCCTTGTTGGATTCCAGCATTTAATCCCATAACACCCCTATGAGTTAAATTCTTTATTATTTCCCAGACTCCAGATGAAGGAACTGAGGGTTTCTAAAGGTTACATGATTAGCCCAGGTTCATACTCACCAGACTTTGTATTTACAAACAAATATATATATGTGTGTATACATATATATACACACACATATATATGTATACATATACACACACACACAGAGTCCATCTTTAGTTATTCAGGGTTTATTCTACAGATTATTTCAACTACCTCTGCCTATCCCAAAATCCTTTCACTAACTCACTTCTTGATCTTTCAATTTCTCTAGATCCTTTTCACTGAGTCCTCCAAATAAATCTTTGAATCCACACCATAGTACTTCATATACTCGCTACTAATCCACCACGGTGGGAATGTAAGATAATAATTCACCATCTCTATACCCATAGGAATGTCCCTCAGCATCTCCAAGCTACACTGTAATGCGTATTTACTGTCTTACAGTATCCTCATACAGCTCTGTATGTGTTTGATTTGTTTTCTCCACTAATTATTTGAGGATAGAAAGCATGAGTAATGTGTCCTTGGCCTTTCCTGTTGTTTCTGCCATATGCCAGGTCCATAGAGATGAACAATAAAAGCAACGACTTCATTACCAAATGAAAGCGAAATTTTAACAACCTGGTTGGCCGCTCTCTTGTAGCTCCATATGAAAGGTTACCAGGAAAGAGAACATAAATAATTGGCTATGTAGCACAGGCTGGGCAAGGTGTGGCTCATCCCTACAGTTCTAGCCACTTGGGAGGCTGACGGGGAAGAATAGGAGGTTGAGGCTTCAGTGAGCTATGATCGCCACAGTACTCCAGCCTGGGCCACAGGGCAAGACCCTGTCTCAAAAAATAAATAAAATAAAATAAAATGTAGCTTGGAAATCACTCATAAATTTTAATTAATCATGAGGTGTATTTCCTTCCATAGGAGGTAAATCTCACGTATCATCATTATTATTACTTTCACTTGTATATTGCTTTTTAATTCTGCCCATATTTAAATCCATTATCTCATTGCTTCCTCACAATAACCTTGGTGCTATGTATTATTATTAGCATCAACCTCATTTTTTACAGATGAGAAAGCCAGAGTTCAGAGAATTAGATGACTTTCTCAGGTGGTTAGTTGTAGAATAGATAGATAGATAGAACAGTCCTGGCCCTGTGAGGTCTGGATTTTTAATTTTTCAGTTCATAATGATGCCATCCTGTCAAGTAAACTCTGATACACAGCGGAAGTACAAATTGTACAACAACAACAACAAGAAAAAATTCATAGTTATGTTGAAATCAAAATAGAATGTGTATAATTTATATATTAAAAAGTGTGCATGAATTATTTCTACTGCTATTGGTTTCTAGGTATAACTGCAATTCAAAATGCATATCTGATCAAAACACATCACCTTAACATACATAGCACATGGCATATAGCAAGGACTTAATAAGTGCTTATTTTACAATCTGCACACCTGTATTGTCTTAGAAATTCACATGGTGACTATTTCTATCTACACTGGTTAAGGGACAAAAGTAGAGAAACACTCCAGGCCTCCCTAATAGCTATGCAACATCACACACTCCATTTAATTTAATAGTTTCTGTCATTTACACGAGACACTGTTATACCATTTCCTTGTCTTCATCATTACCTCTTCTACAAGGCAAGTGAAATAAAACAAAACCAATCTTCCTAGAAATGTTTCAAATCTGGAATTAAGAGTATTGGTAAACCAAAACTGACTTACAACACTCCCAAACTTACCCTAGTTCATGTTTATAGAACAAGGGAGTATCAACTACTTACTTAATCCTAAACCAGTAATGCATGAACTACATTTTGAGTTACGGTCATGGTAAAACACTTTCCATACCCCAGTATCTGCTAAATTGCCACGTGCCCTATTTCAGATTTTTGTTTCACTCATCACACACGGTGATGTCTGGGATTTTTCACGTGAATATTCATATAAAGTTTACAATGCCCCATTTTAAATTTATGTAGTCACTTTTCAACCTTAAAATGAATATTTTGCTCTAGCATCCTTCACATCTTTATTTCAACTTACTTCATTTCAATTTACTGTAAACTTCTGTATTGGACTATTCTCTGGCAAAACTACAACTTACTAAATCAGTTAAATTAAATACATATTGACCTCACCACAAAAGTTCAAAATGCATGTGATGTGCTTTGGCTGTGTCCCCACCCAAATCTTACCAGTGGGAGGTAATTAAATAATGGAGGGCAAGTCTTTCCCATGTTCTCACGATAGTGAATAAGTCTCATGAGATCTAATGGTTTTAAAAAGAGGAGTTCCCCTACACAAGCTCTCGTCTCTTGTCTGCTGCCACGTGAGACGTGTCTTTCACCTTTCGCCATGACTGTAAGTCCAATAAACCTTTTTCTTTTGTAAATTGCCCAGTCTTGGGTAGTCTTTATCATCAGCATGAAAACAGACTAATACAACATTTAATAATTAAACACAAACTTCTTTCTTCATTCTCCAATTTCCAGCCCCTACTCTTTGAAACAATGCAATGTCAATGATAGACTTCAAACTGTTTCTTATTTTGTCTATTTCTCCTTTCTTAACAAGGCAAGTGTTCCTCACATAATAATTTGCTTTCATAAATATCAAAAGAGGTAATCACAACCTCATTAATATAGCCTTTTCATCAGGTGCAAAATAAAGACCATGGAATTTTTAATTACTAATTAGACTGCATTTACATTCTATTAATAAAGTAATTTATTAAAAGGTACTATCAATATCATGAACATGCATATCAAGGTCACGAGGGAAGCCTGCCTGAACAAACCTGATATTCCACTCACATCACATTCTCCTTCTATTTAGGAAAGTATTTATAATTAATCTAATAGAGATAGAGGAATGGTTATAAGCAATTGTCGTAGACAATTTACAATATAAACCTTAAAGAGATCATTTTATTGACTTGTCATTTAGCATATCACCAGATACATGATTCTACTTTCCACACTTACCAAGTACCTTTCAGAGGACACGCTAACTAAGATGAGGTCATCTCCAACTCGTACTTTTTCTCCTTCTGATCGCTGCTTAGAGGCAGGGTGTATGGTCCACCAACAAGCCTCTCCTGCAGAGATATGGATATGTGAAACACAAAAAAAGTTCCTCTGGGTTAAAATCTATTTTCTTTGCCAACGATTCCAAAACACACACCACTTCCAGAAATCTGGAATTAATGCAAATTAATCTCTTACACCAGGAAAAGAGAAAGAATTAAGCCTTAGCTTAGGATAAAATAAGATTCTTTTCATAGAAACTGGGTGTGACACTTACGGAATGCTGATGCCTTTTTCATCCACGAAGAATTGCTTTAAATGGATATTTATTTATACTCATGTAAGACAAAATTCACCACTCACACTGATCTGATTTCATTCTTTATACACGCACATGTCATTATACCGTTCAATTGCTTTCTATAAAATCATCTCGTTTTTTGACAATTTTCATAAAGACTTGGGGTTTTGTGATGTGATGATTGTGTTGTAGCAATTTTTTGAAAATTTTCCCAGTAGTTATTTTTCGATGCTGACTCAAAAAAAGGATGCAAAGTATTGTCATCTAAAGATTGTACTATCCTGTCCCCTTTTTACTTTATTATTTTAAAATGTGGTGTTTTCATCTTTTTTTCTTTCTTTTTTTTTTGAGACAGTGTCTCGCTTTGTTGCCCAGGCTGGAGTGTAATGGCACAACCTCAGCTCACAGCAACCTCCACGTCCCAGGTTCAAGTGATTCTCCTGCCTCAGCCTCCTGAGTAGCTGGGACTACAGGCACCCGCCACCATGCCTGGCTAATTTTTGTATTTTTAGTAGAGATGGGGTTTCACCATGTTGGTTAGGCTGGTCTTGAACTCCTGACCTTGTGATCCTCCCGCCTTGGCCTCCCAAAGTGCTGGGATTACAGGCGTGAGCCACGGCGCCCGGCCGTGGTGTTTTCTATTAATCTAAAAGTAACATATAAGAGAATCCTTCTGTAGAAGAATGAATTATAAAAGATCTTGGTTTACATCAACCAAACAATTCCTTCTAGGATAAGTCAAGCATAAGCCTCATAAGCCACATGTCTCTTCACTCTTTCTTCCCAATACCTAACATATAATCGTCAGCATGCCATTCTTCATTCTGTTCATAATACCTTTGAAAACCTAAATGCGACTTCTATCCCAAAATGAGAGTAGTGTTTTCACAAAATCTGTCATCATTTATCATTCTTTGCCTTGACTCAACTTTATGGTTTTTCCATAAATCTTTTTTTTTTTCTTGACTAATTCCTCAAGGCCAGAATGTAAGTTCCTATTAGTTGGCCTTGTTATGTTTTGTTCACTGAGGTTTCTCCAGCTCCTGCTAGCCTATTATAAGCACTCACTACAAATTCATTTTGCATGAATGAATAAATGAATTACCAAATAACATTTTGTAAGTATTCTCACAGTCAATATATAATCTGTGTTTTTTCTTACATAAACCATAGTCTAACTTGCTTTTCCTATACAAACCATAATCTAACCTGAATGTCACCTGGTGTAATTCTTTATCGTCATTCATCCAATTCACATTTTTACAGTTGCAGGTAGTTTTTCATTCACTCAAACATTTATAGAGTACCCACTATTGGCTAATCATTGCTTTAGTGGCTGGGATACATCAATAAACAAGGAAGAAAAAATTATCTGCCTTGTGAGTTTAATTCTGATGAAGGCAGGCAGACAACAAATGATAAATACCATAAATAATTAAGGAATTCAGAAGAAGTAGGAAGCTATGGGAAAAAAAGAGAGTAGCGTAAGGAAATCAGGACGCAGGGAGAAACACTGACTTGTTTTGTTTTGACTATTACATAATCTCAATGAATGAAAACAAGTTCTAGACTGTGTCTTTTACTTCTTATGAAGAGGGAACTGACAACTTTCTCATTTAACTGTGTGCTGAAATACACTAATTAGAATAACTAAAAAACTAGCAAAAATACAGGGGAACGATAGAGTCTATACAAAACAAAATCAGAATAATATATTTATGTATGTTTCTGGTGCTGGGGGTTCTTGGAATTTCTTGTACAAGACGATGTGTTGGTCTATTAAAATGTGTATAAGGCTCATAAACATAGCTTTATTTTTACCTTCTCATTGTTTGCAAAAAAAAAATTAGTGAATATGGGAAAATACTTTAAAGAGGGGGAGTGGAGTGAGAGGATAGTTTGATCTCACTCTTCAAAGGAACAACTTAATAAAAGTTGAACTATTTCCTTCCATTCTTTTTTCTACTTGGTCTTTATTTTAATTACAAAGGGATGCATGCTCATTGTAAAAGACAAAACAGTCCAATTTTATAGGGGTATATAAAGTCAATGCAAAGTCCTCAGAGTATTGAGAAGAACATCAAATTTGTGTTCTCCTATTTTGATTCGCCAAAAAAAAAAAAAAAAGTTAATATATACATTTTTGTCTCACAAGTCTGAAAATGCACGTCTGTTTGAACAGGTATGTAGAAGAACGCCCTGTGGGCAGAGAAATGAAGGAGACTTTCATTTTTGACCTTTTTATTTGAATATTGGCATCAAGTATGTCATATTTTCAGACTTAAAAACATTTTTAAGATAAGAGAGATATGTAGAATTACTTCACAAACTAATTAGTGCACATTAATATGGTTAACATCCAGTAGATCATGTAGTAAATACTAATTTTCTATCCAAACCTACAAGGAGAATAAGGTTTGAAGCCTAGTTTGAACATCCAACTAATGATGTGGGAATAACCAAGAGGAATGATATACACTTCCCCCTTCTAGGAAAAACTTTCATTAGAACATTTTTTCCTGACCCCATGCATAAGAACATTCATCCCATGTATTGTATTTCCCAGCTTCTTCCAATCCAATCCCATCAGGGCTCTCTCTGAACCCAGCTTCCCGCAGCACAAGATGCTCACCTGTGGTGTCCTCTTGCAAGCCAACATCAAAAGCCAGCTTATCAGTTGAAGACCGGGAGGTGGACAGGCAGCACAGATACTGCAAAACACAAAATCAGTAGTTGTAAGTAGAGGCTTTGTTTGTCTGTTGTTTTTGAGACAAGGTTGCTCCGTTGCACAGGCTGGAAGTGCAGTGGTGTGATCACAGCTCACTGCAGCCTCAACCTCCTGGGCTCAAGCAATCATCCCACCTCAGCCTCCTGAGTAGCTGGGACTACAGGGACATGCCACCATGCCCAGCTAATTATTTTCTTTTTTTGTAGAGATGGGGTTTTACCATGTTGCCCAGGCTGGTCTGGAACTCCTAGACTCAAGTGATCCTCCTACCTCAGGTTCCCAAGTAGCTGGGGCCACAGGTGTGCACCACCACATCCAGTTAATTTTTTTTTTCACAGAGATGAGATCCCCCTATGTTGCCAAGGTGATCTCAAACTCCTAAACTCAAGCAATCTCCCACCTCCACCTCCCAAAGTGCTGGGATTATAGGCATGAGCCACAGCGACTGGCTATCATTAAGGTTTACAGTTGTACCAGCAGAGTCTTATTTTGACCTGTAATTTGGTGTCCATCTATCCCTGCTGTTCTTAGTGTTTTCCTGAAAATCTCAATGCTTCTGCACAAAGCCCAGATTTTTAAATGTCTGTGAGGCAGAACAGCATGCATTAGGGGTAATATCCTAAAGGAACTGTAGTCTTTTTTTCCCTTATAAAAGACTAAGGAAATGTTCTCTGTCAGTACAGGAAGACAAGTAACTGGGGATGTATTTGTACATCTCTCACTTCATGTGATATTCATCATCATCTGCAAAAGTACAATGTAATCTGACAGTTAGAAATCTTTCTCCCAAACAAATTTGAAGACTATTCTCTTTTATCTTCTAGCTTTGTTTTCATTTAAAAATGTTTAACTCTTTGAAATCCACCTAGAATTTATTTTGGTGCACAGCATGTCATTGCACTAAAATGAGGTTTATTGTGTGTCTCCATACATGTGCATTTTCCACACTCTTGAATACCGTCATCTCATTCTTCCCACCTTCAGGTGTTCCTAACTGTGTATTCTTGTACATCAAGTTTAGGATCATTTTTCAAGCCTACTGCTCCCCAACCTCCATGCCACAACGTGTTGTAAGAACACAGACACAAAGATGAATGTGATGTAAGAACAGAGACACAAAGATGAATGTGTTGTAAGAACAGAAACACAAAGATGAATGTGGTAGGATCTCAAAGTACACTACCATCACCAAGCAAGTGCACTGCCAGAAAGCCCCCTTTCGGATCACTGGAAAATTAATGCAAAGGCTAGAAATTTCTTATGATGGTATAGGGCCTATCCAGCTAAGTGTGTGTCTGTGAGTGTGAGAAGGCAGATGGACCAATCAGTGGCCGATATGCTGGTATGTCAGGTGGAATTCAGGGTCATGGGGATGTGAAATGCAGACTCTGATTCTGACTCTTAACTAAAAAGCAATGGCTCCCAAGGTTATAGTCAAGAGGCTTCAAGGGTCCCTAAACTTGTTTTTAGCCACAGCAGAAGTGTCAGTCTGACCTCAAGACAGGCAGCCCATGATAATCCCCTACGTTTATAGACTTTAAATATAAACTATGCTTAACATCTGCCTTTATTTTTTTAAAAGTTAACAACCTTGCAATAATCAGACTTCCTAGACAAAAATAAAGTGATTCCTATTAAAGTCTTTTGTAGTTTTTTCAAAAACAGTACAGTATTAGGCACTGTAACGATTAACATATGCTTTCTCCTTAATGTTTCCAGTAACTCTGAGGTAGATACAATGATTATCCCACTAAGTGTTCATTAAAGAGAGCAAGAACTTGGTCTTATTCACTACTATATCCAGGACCTAAAACAGTACCTAGCACGTAGTAGGTGCCAAATAATATTTATTTAATGAATGTATAAAAATTTCAGATGTAATTATAGGCTTAATTATGCAAAATATCCCAGGCTGGCCAGCATGTAGCAAACTGAATCCAAATCTAACAACCAAGTTCAGGCTCTTAATCCAACTATTATGTAGAGAGAGTAGTTGTCTTAAAAGAAACCCTCACATTTATTATTTCATGCAGTTCATGTGTTTTGATTGCTGTAGAATGTGGAATTCTTTCCATAAAATTTTAATATGTGATTGCTCTATACAAATTGTTTTTACATATTTTTCTTACATCCAACCACTTTATGAAACTGTTTTATGTTATTTTATATCTTGACATGTTAGTCAAAATTTCCAGAACAATGTTAGTCAGCAATGGTAGATAAAACACATTCTTATTTTTATTTTCGTTAATTTGATTTTTAAAATGGCTTCAGCATTTCACAATTACAATGTTCACTATTGATTTGACACTAATAATCTTTATCTCTGAGGAAATAATCAATGTTTAGTTTTTATTAAGAATGAGCATTGAGTTTTATTAACAACCTTTTCCAGCACTTGCTAACATGATCACGAGTTTTCTTATCTGACCTATTTATGTGATATAACACATTAAAAGAAATGATATATTAAATCATCATTAAAGTCACGTCCATGTATTTCCTATACTTCTCATCCTATACTTTTGAATTTCATTAAATAGACAATTAAAATAAAGTTATCACATAAATATCCATGATTGAGGTTGAAAATTTGTGTGTGCTTGTTGGATAGTGGTATTGATACTTAGTCTTCTGCTTTAAAACAATTTACATAATATGGGAATCACCTACTTTTTAAAAGGAATGATCAAGTATATTATTATAGATATTGTATAATATTCTAGATATTGAACTATCATGTAGCCACTAAAATTATATTGACAATTTAAACAACATGGAAAATGCTTATGTTACAAGAAAAGGAAAAAAAAGTCACGCCGGGCACAGTGGCTCATGCCTGTAATCCCAGGACTTTGGGAGGCCAAGGCGAGAGGATCGTTTCAGCCTGAGAGTTCAAGACCAGCTTAGGCAAGATGGTGAGACTCCCATCTCTACAAGAAATTTAAAAATTAGCCAGGCGTGGCAGCAGGCGCCTGTAGTCCTAGCTACTCAGGAGGCTGAAGCAAGAAAACCGTTTGAGCCCAGGAGTTCAAGGCTACAGTTAGCCATGATCATACCACTGCACCTCAGCCTGGGTGACAGCAAGACCCTATCTCAAAAAACAAAAGGATATAAATTTGGTAATGTAGTAAGATCTCAATTATGTTTTAAAAAAAAAAAAAAACCCTTAGGACAGAAGAGATTAAAACTTCTTTTAAAAGCCTCCAACACGGAGCTTGCAGTGAGCTGAGATCCGGCCACTGCACTCCAGCCTGGGCGACAGAGCGAGACTCCGTCTCAAGAAAAAAAAAAAAAAAAAAAAAAAAACCTCCAACAGTTTTTTCCTATTAGTGTCATCAGAATTTTTCTTCTGCAACTTTCAAATCATATAGACTATGTATTCTTTTATAATTTAATAAAGCTCTTATAAGAATAGAATGAAGCCAGGTGTGGTGGCTCACGCCTGTAATCCCAGCACTCTGGGAGGCCGACACGGGCGGATCACGAGGTCAGGAGATCGAGACCACCCTGGCTAACACGGTGAAACCCCATCTCTACTAAAAAAAATACAAAAAAAATTAGCCGGGCGTGGTGGCGGCACCTGTAGTCCCAGCTACTTGGGAGGCTGAGGTAGGAGAATGGCGTGAACCCGGGAGGCGGAGCTTGCAGTGACCTGAGATCACGCCATTGTACTCCAGCCTGGGTGACAGAGCGAGACTCCATCACAAAAAAAGAAAAAGAATGGAATGAAACTTTTGCATATTTTTTTACATATTTTATGTACAGTTGACCCTTGAACAACACAGGTTTGAACTGCCCAGGCCCACTTCCTAACATGTTCTTCCCCGCTCTACCATTCCTGAGACAGCAAAACCAATTCCTCCTCTTCCTCCTCCTTAGCCTATTTGACACAAAGACAATGAGAGTGAAAGTCTTTGTGATGATCCATTTCCAGTTAATGTATAGAAAATCTATTTTTCTTTTGATATACTTAATAGTTTCTTTTCTCTAGCTTCCTTTATTACAATACAGCATATAATCCATATACAAAATATGTGTTGGCTGGTATCGGTAAGGCTTCTGGTCAACAGTGGGATATTAATAGTTACCTTTTGAGGGAGTCAAAAGTTATATGTGATTTTCTACTGTGCAGGAGATTGGCACCCTAACTCCTGTGTTGTTCAAGGGTCAGCTGTATATGTAATATCTAAGAATACATTAAAGTATTTATAAAATATATTTTTAAAACATTTACATATATACATATCTACATATACACACATATATTTGTGCATATATACATGAGGCAGAGAATGAGAAAACTGTGCCCAAGAGAAGCCTAATGAATAACTGGGTGAAAGGAGGAGCAGATGTGGAAAAAGAGAAACCTGGTGAAGAAGAAAAAGAAGTTGGTGAGTACAATTAATACTGGAGCTCAGAGGTAGATTTTCTTAAATCTGATCTTTCAATAAAGATACTTTATTTCTCTAATAAATGAACTCTTTAAAACAAACTCTGAAAAGAAATATCTCTTATTTGACTCTTACACCTCTCTCCTCCTAAAACTACTCTATCAAAAGTAAGATACTAAACATGGTAATCATATAATGATAGAACTGAAGGACCTTAAAAGTCATGTGAGCTGACTTTCATCTTTTACATGAGAAACTAACAAGGGTACAAAGATATTAAAGAACACATATATCCAAGCTCATTGATACCATTGCAGAAATGATGCTTACCAGCATTTTCTGACCAGGTACCCCCAAATGGATCAGCATGACCACAGGGAGATGAAATAAAATGCGTACTCACCATGCCACTGTAGGAATGGCGCAGCAATATGGCATGTCCATAGAGGAGTGTTCGATGACCACCACCTTGAGCAGTCTTTAGAGAGAAGAGAAAAAAGGAGAACAAAAGAGAAAAACACAAAAGGGTAACTTAACCTGCAAGTCGATAAAATATTCTCTTGTTCTTAAAGGAATGTCAGTAGGAAAGAATGCATTAAGAATTCTTGCAGACAAGCAAAGTGCTGTTGAAATAATGTGTACATTGGAATAAAGTTCATGTAACCTCTATTATGGGGTTAGCATTTTATCTAGTTCTTGAATAATAAACTTGGTAGCAGTAAATAATTATCATAATTTATAGTTATTTATTCATAAGGTACTTAATTATAATCTGTTTCCCATTATATTACGGTTTCCATTGGGTGGGAACCATGGTACCTTCATCACCATTGTATTCCAGGTGCCTACCTGCACACCGGACATACAAGAAGCACTAAATAAATGTTGATTCAGGCCAGGCGTGGTGCCTTATGCCTGTAATCCCAGCACTTTGGGAGGCCGAGGCGGGCGGATCACCTGAGGTCAGGAGTTCGAGACCAACCCGGCCAACATGGCAAAACCCTGTCTCTATTAAAAATACAAAAATTAGCTGGGTGTGGTGGCACATGCCTGTAATCTCAGCTACTCAGGAGGCTGAGGCAGGATAATTGCTTGAACCCGGGAGGCGGAGGTTGCAGTGAGCTGAGATTGCACCACTGCACTCCAGCCTGGGCAACAGAGCAAGACTCTGTCTCAATAAATAAATAAATAAACATTGATTCAATGAATGAGTCTTCCTAAAACACAAAAATGATCATAACGCCTCCAGGCTTAAAAATTTCTCATTCCTCCCAACTGCTTATAGGAAAGAGTCCAATCAATCCCTTTCCATGAAATAGAAGAGTGCTTCTTAAATTGGAGAGCTTGTAAAAACACAGATTCCTGGCCCTTACCACTGGGATTTTGATTCAGTAGGTCTGGGGTAGTTACAGAGAGGTTTCATTTCAATAATTTTCCAGGTGATACTGATGCTGTTGATCCAGAGACCACTTTGAGAAGTACAGAGATACTTTGTCTCACTCATCTCTAGTCTCATCTTCAATCACCCTGTGTCCAAACATACTCACTTTCCCTTCCCTGAGTATGCCATACTGCTTTCATGCTGCCCTATCTCGAAACACAACTTTCCCTCTCCCTCTAGTCTTCTCTGTTGTATAAAGCCTTTTTAATAAGAAAGCCTCCAATAGTTTTTCCTCTTGGTGTAACTGAAGGATTTTTCTTCTGTAACTTCCAAACTGTATAGAATAAATATGTATTGATTTGATAATTTAATAAAGTTTTTATAAGAATGGAATGAAACTTTTACATATTTTATGTACATGTGACTCTTGTACGACACAGGTTTGAATTGCACAGGCCCATTTATACTCAGATTTTTTCCCCTTCTACTTTTTAAAACTCAAAGACTACCTCCTCTATAAAGCCTCATCCAGTTTCCTCAAAGCTAGTCACTCTCCCCATCCTCCTGCAGCCCTAGGTATACACCTGTACATTGACCTTACACTCTACGCAAGAACCCTCCTCCCCTTGATCAGACTGAAAACTCCTCAAGGACAATGACACTGTGCTGATTATCATTTCACCTCCAGCTTTGAGTGTGAGGTCAGGCCATGGTAAGCACTCAGCAGAGGTGTCAAATGAAAAGCTGGATATGGGGAGGCCCACTTCAGGCTGAGTGAGGAGTATGTATACAGGGGTCATGGTATATAATCATAAGGTGTGTAAGAAGGAGGAATCAATCATGGAATTTTAGTGTTGGGTTGCACAGGAAAACTTCACAGGAATTATAAAATTAGATCAGGGAAAGACCATGGAAAGCACAGAATATTATGACGAGAAATCTGTACTTCTTTTTGCAGGAAAAGGAGGTCTTTAAAAATTTTCAGAATAAGAGTGATGACACTGACCTGTGCCTTAAGAAGTACAGAAAGATGCTTCAATATCCAATATTATTATAACCTTTTTACTAAACATATATCACATTCTTGTTGTTCCACATAACTTCTTAAAATAACTTTATGTTTTGCTTGAAAAAACTCAGAACTATTCTAAAAACAGATATTAAAAGGTATTAAAATAAGAAAAACTGCTGAAAAAAAAAATCCACTTCTTTTCGGGGTCCGGACGCAGTGGCTCACGCCTGTAATCCCAGCACTTTCGGAAGCCAAGACAGGTGGATCGCATGAGGTCAGGAGTTCAAGACCAGCCTGGTCAACATGGTGAAACTAAAATACAAAAGTACAAAAATTAGCTGGGTGTGGTGGCAGGCACCTGCAATCCCAGCTACTCTCAGGAGGCTGAGACAGGAGAACGGCTTGAACCCGGGAGGCAGAGGTTGCAGTGAGCTGAGGTCGCACCACTGCACTCCAGCCTGGGTGACAGAGCAAGATTCTGTCTCAAAAACAAAAACAAAAAAACAAAAACAACAAAAAACCACTTTTTTCACATAACTGAGAAGAAAAGGGAAAAATCTACTTTGAATAACTATACTCCTGCCAGGTGCGGTGGCTCACGCCTGTAATCCCAGCACTTTGGGAGGCCGAGGCGGGTGGATCACGAGGTCAGGAGATCGAGACCATCCTGGCTAACACGGTGAAACCCCGTCTCTACTAAAAATACAAAAAATTAGCCAGGCGTGATGGCGGCGCCTGTAGTCCCAGCTACTTGAGAGGCTGAGGCAGGAGAATGGCGGGAACCCAGGAGGCGGAGCTTGCAGTGAGCCGAGATTGCACCACTGCACTCCAGCCTGGGCGACAAAGCGAGACTCCGTCTCAAAAAAATAAAAAAAGAAAGAAAGAAAGAAAGAAAGAAAAACTATACTCCTTCAGAGAATGAGGCTCTCTTTAGAGAGCACTTATTTTTTCTATAATGCGTTCGATTTATTGTGGCCAAGAACAATTTTATTTACTTGGTCTGGTTTGAATTACTTTGATAGAAGCCCACCTTTTCATACCAGATTGAAGTTCCAAAGCTGTAAAATCCACAAGAACTTTAATAACACTTGACAGCCACGCTAGTCAAAACAAAATTTTTTTAAAAGTGAAGGACAAGGCCTTGAAGTTAACCAGGAAGTACTCCTTTACCGTAAAGCTTTGCCTACACATTTCATTTATTTATTTATTTACTTATTTATTTATTTATTTATTTATATAGTGTGTGTGTGTGTGTGTGACTAAAGAGGTTTACAGGTTTCATTTATATATATATATATAATTTACATATATATATAGTATGTGTGTGTGCGTGTGTATGTGTGTGACTAAAGAGGTTTACATACACATTAAAATTACTGGTTCTATATTTTGTTCTTTCTGGTTTGCTTTTTTTGCTTTTGGGCTCCGTGTTTTTTAAATACAGCCAACTGTATTTAAAAAAAGCATGAGGCAAAGTGCCTCATGCTTGTAATCCCAACTACCTAGGAGGCTGAGGAAGGAAGACCACTGGAGCCCAGGAGTTCCAGGTTGCAGTGAGCTATCCACTGTACTCCAGCCTGGGTGACAGAGCAAGACCCTGTCTCTTAAAAAATAAAATAGTGAATCACACAATGGGGTCACTGAAGGATTATAACAATCAATGAGAATCCTGGCCTCAGTTGAAATAAAGGTGCCTGAAAAGGCCAGTTTGACATTGTCAAGACATCCGTTTGACACGGACTGGCTTACTTGGGATGGTGTCTTCATGGAAAGTCTCCACAGGGAACAGATCAGGCTTAGGACAGTCCTAAGGCACCACTGTTTAGCACCATCCAGCAGAAATAGGCTCCCACAACAAGAAAGCATCCATCTGGTTCTAAGAAGTTAATGCCTTTTCCGTAGGAAACCCAAAGCAAAGCATGATTGAAAGGTGAAAGCGAGATAAAATTCAGCATGTTTTTCTCTTTAAGTGACTTAAATTACTGTAATTACATGCATGTGCCTTCCCCTTAATCCAATTCTAACCTTTCCAGATCATCCACTGCAAGTGTGAAAATAACTATTGGCCTTCTGGCCTCGAAGTTAAAAGAACTGGGGGCCTAATTAAATTATTTTAGGCATACCACCTGTTTTTAACTAATTCTACATCATCCTTCTATTTGCACTGGTTTTTACACGCATTTGTTCTCACAAGAGACCTTAAGATGTCTGTTCCAGGCCACCATTTCATTCACCCTTCCCAAGGGGAAGTCTATACAGCATGGTACAGTTGAATTAAGAGTGAGATGATAAAATGAATACAGCAAATGCAGATTTAGCATGAAAAACTAAAGTTTCTCAAACCCATAATCATAAGTTAGTTATTAGTATTTGCAAAGAGAGGAAATATTCCTATTTTGCTGTTTTTAATATTTTTCCAATCCAAACTCTTGTTTCATGATATGTCTAATTTAGGGATTAATGTCCTCTCTTCAAAATGTGATCATAATATTTTCAACTGAAAAATAAGAGCTAGAGTTATTGGAAATTCTGGAAGATGTTCCATGTCCTGGTTGATAGATGTCTTCAAAGAAATGCTCTGTTCTGTCATCCCATCCAAAATGCCAAATTCTTACTGGTAGTGAACAGGTCCAGTTTAGGGTATCCCGCAATGCACCTGGTTCAGTTTTATTAAACATGATGGATTTAACCACAAAATTCAACAGACTGACAAGAACATGCATCCCTTGCTTCAAAGCAACCTTTTCCATCTATATGTGGGATTTTGATTTAATATTTCTCACAGTCTATTTCTTTCAAAATTATCACTTATTTTAAGGCTTTCTTAACTGAATATCAATTTTTCTACCTACCCATTGTTTCTTGGCTTTTAAGATTAAAAAAATTAAACCCCATAAATGTTATAGGAGAAATGTAGTGGGCATATGAAAATGAAACAAAAATTTTCTACTATATATCCTAAAATAACCATAGTCTACTCTTCTTCCTGTATGTCCCTTACGTATTCCTTCAATGACATGTCCACATGCTTTACTCTTTTCTTTTTATTTGTCTACTTTTACAATATTTTCACTTTTCCAATCCAGTCGAGAAATGAAAAGGGGCTGGCTGAATTACTTTCACGTCTCCTGGAGTAAGTAGAAGTAGTTTCTTGGTGCCTCCCCTAATTTCCCAGTGGAAGAATTTCCCATTGTATTCATACAAAAGTGCATAAATGCAAAGTCAGCATAATGCCCAGAGTGAACATTCTAAATGGAGAGTTATTAAAATTGTTTTAATAAGAAAAATTCTTAATGTTAGCAATTAAACATGTTACAATATGACCCAAAAGTGTCAAATCTTGGCTTGACATTTTTGTTTGTTGAGCTTTTAAATCTAAACATGTGATTTATCTAAATCTAAAAGCTCCAAAGTTTAATATTTAAACATTTTAAAGCATGTGAAGAAAAGTTACATGGATTCAAAAGTAAAACAAATGTGTGTAACCATACATAAAACATACAAAGTATCACATATATACAGCTGATATATAGTAATATATATATATCTGTTACATATATAATACAGCTATACTAATATGCAGATATATACATATATAATCCATATATAGTAATATATCTGCTATATATACACAGCAGATATATTACGATGTCTTACCTTCATCATGAATTTCTGTAGGGGCATAAGGAAAAGAGAGGAAACATTAAATAGACATGATCTCAAAGATTCCCTTAAAAATACCTCTTACTTATAAAGGCTCCATTATCCTAAATGGAGCTATTTAAACAATAAACATAAAAAAACACATTCACCGTGTTATCGCAACAAAACTTAGTATCAACTACATGCTAGAGGAAAGCTGTAGCGAGCAAAATTCTTTTAAAAAGTTTTTACATTAGTTTCTTCCTTTTTCTGTGAAAACATGCTGCTCTACTTTAATGAGTGATTCCATTTACAATCTATTTAAGCACCAAAAATGATATTATCTTAAAAACTGATCATCTGAAAATGCTTTTTAAAAAACCAACTTTCATCTTTTTCATAAAAATGCAGTGATAAAAGCAAACAGCAACCCAACTCATTTTAATAAAAACAGTAGATTAAAACAGGTAAGGGAGATCGTAAACTAATACGCTGCAATGAGTGGCTCTCATTTCATGCAAAATAACAGTAAGCAATTTCTTAGACACTGAATATTTTGAAAGGTGAATTTCAAAGAAAAATCACAAAAGCATTTCTATTTCTCTTAAAATGACACAGTCTCCTTTCATAAATTATATAATAGCTCTTTTTTTCTTCTACAAAACATAATGTGTATTATGTGTGTGTGCATGCAAATCTACAAATAACTTCATTTTTCTTTAGACCTCTAAAGTTTCTTTGACTTCTTATTCCTAGGATAGTTACACAGATGAAAGAGTACAAAAAAGAAAACAATTATATATTTCCAAACTTAGGGCTGAATTTAGTTGTCAGGTTGATGTCTAAGTCCTACGGAGAAAAGATATCATAGAGACACTAGTTGTAAGAAAAACTGCAAGGAAAAGTTTTCCAATATAGATATTTGTAAATATTACAATTTTTTGTAACTTATTTGCTAACTTACTGTAGCACAAAACTACATTCTCCACACCCAAAGAGGCTGCTTTCTTCAATATTTATCTTTATGTGTTTCTTGTAAGTAAGGGATGACTATATGGGCAGTGATAGTCATGGATTCCAACCAGCTTTCTGTCTTAGATTTTTTTGGATGATTAATTTGCACAGAAACACAAAGGTGGGAATTTTAGTTCTTTAGGCTAAAACTGCAGGTGTCAGTAACTCAGTGTCCTAGGTTTAGATAAATCCAGAAATATGTTTCTTGTAACCTGAAACATATTTACATAGTAATATGTATATTATTAAAGGGAAATTCTATTAAGACTAATTTTTTCATTTTCAATATTACAATTTTAAGGAAAAACTGTAAAGAAGCTTTCATTCTTGGCTTAGAAAATACACGCTGTTTAGTTACGTTTTTATAACTGATATTAATCACATATAATTATCAGGAAACTTATTTTCCATGTTAAACCGACCAATCACATGTGACTCACTAATGGGAGGGCTATCACTAAAGAATTAGGCAAAATCATTATTAAGCCCTAATTCAAAGAAATGCAAAAACCTAACATTTTGGTACAGCACATAGTTTGTTAAGAGATACTTTCTCCATGAGATTTTTTTTTTTTTTTTAATTAAGCTAGATTTGGGAGATTTTTCTTTAGAAAATGTCCTCAGCCCGATTTTGTCAGGTATCTAAGTTGAACTGCTTTAAAACTGTAGTAGGTATTGACAACAACAAAAAAAGAGTGGTCGGCCAAGTGACTGAGGTCTGCCGTTCCACATTGCTAAGTCGTGTCTGACCGCAGGAAGAATAAGACACAGAGGAGAGCAAGCTGCATACACGATAAAATAGTATGACGAATGAAAATAGCAAATGCTGAAATATCCTTCTGTAGAATGAGAAAGAAGAGCAGGTGTAATACACAAACATCATTTTCAAAAGATAATCAAGAACATGAAAGATTTGTGGTATTAGTGGCATTATAGACATTAACTTTCTGTACAAATCATTTCTTGTTCAAATTGGTTTAAGGGCTAGATATTACCAAAGTTATAGCATCAGGAGACATTAAAAGGGATCGTTTAAGGCAAAAGAAGCAAGCAAAGCACATTAAAACAAAAAAGATGAGTATATTAGTTTAATTCAATGTAAGCACTGCTTCTGTATGATAAAAGCAACAAACAGAAAAAGAATAACAACAAAAACCCTTTAAAATTGATATGATGGAAAGTAGAAAAAAGAAACACATAAAGATAAATATCGAAGAAAGCAGCCTCTTTGGGTGTGGAGAACGTAGTTTTTGTGCTTACAGTAAGTTAGCAAATAAATGAACTATTTGATTTATTTCACTAATGAGAGGCTTAATAGACAAGAGCTAAAATTTCATTACACAAAATAGAGTAAGGGATGACTATATGGGCAGTGATAGTCATGGATTCCAACCAGCTTTGTGTCTTAGAATTTTTTGGATGATTAATTTGCACAGAAACACAAAGGTGGAAATTTTAGTTCTTTAGGCTAAAACTGCAGGTGTCAGTAACTCAGTGTCCTAGGTTTAGATTAATCCAGAATTGACAGGTCAGATGGAGCTCCAAATACAAGCAAAACCTGAGGGCACATGCTACATTAACATGGAAGCCAGGGAGAGAAATTGCTATTGCTACATTTTAACACATAGATGGCCCTGGGTGTCAAATGCATGACAAAAAGAAGCAGAATCATCTTTTGTCTTTAAGCATAAGCTAAGGCACTTTCCTAGCAAACGCAAATGATTATGAATAGAAAAACAAATCAAACGGCAATACTTGACTCTGAAAATTGCTAACAAGTACTGGATATCAAGAGAATGCATATTTAATCTGCTCTTGGTGCAAAGAAGGAAACAATCATTCAGGTGATGTAGAAGAGCTCCTCTATCATAATGATGCCTTTCAGTTCAACCTTGGTTTTTTAAAACTGGTATTTCAGTTTCATGAACTAAAATCTGATTTTTAAAAAGTCACACCTCTAAAAACCTACCTTAGAACTTTAAAAAAAAAACTGTTATTGAAATGTCTCCTCAAAAATTATACAGATAAGGATTTAGTGACAAAGCACCAAACATTTGGGGGCTTGCCATTAAAAAGGATTATCAAGTGCAACAATTTCAGAATAGCCTCAGAAGTCATTCTAGCATGAAGTTTCCATTAAGGAGGCAAAATGCCCTACTCCGCACACAAAATATGCATCAAATTTAAGCCTTTTTGCCATCTTTTCCTCTCCACATATCAAGATGCTAGGATTCTCCATAATTCTCCAACTGGTAACCTCTCCTTTGTGAGGAAAGATCAGGTAAATTTCATTATGTTGAGAAAACAAGGATATTTCACCATCAAAGACTAGGATTTCTAGGTAGCAATAATTAATTAATGATAGTCCCAACAATTTTTAGGAGAAAAAAAATTAACAATAACAATTCTGAGTTTCAAACATATATCAACACATACTATCTAATAGCATTTGAGATTGAAAAACTTCAACTATTGCTCTTATGATGAAAATATCTGGCTGGGTGCAGTGGCTCATGCCTGTAATCCCAGCACTTGGGGAGGCCAGGGCAGGAGTATCTGCTTGAGCCCAGGAGTTCAAGACCAGCTTGGGCACCATAGTGAGACACTGTCTCTACAAAAAATCAAAAAGTTAGCCAGGCATGGTGGCACATGCCTGTAGTCCCAGCTACTCAGGAGGCTGAGGTGGGAGTATCACTTGAGTCACACTCCAGGCTGGGTGATAGAGCAAGACCCTGTCTTAAAAAATATCTATATAAATCCTATGGAAATGTTTCACTTTCTAGGATTCCCCTGCTAAAAATGTCCAAGATGCTCTGAAAAGACAGACATGTTGATTACAGGTACAGAAATCATCTGAAAGAGGCTTGTCTATCAGCCCATGAATGAGCAGTTACACACATAATAACACATTCCACTGAAATGCCCTTGTATCACTCCTATTAATGACCATCACTGGAATCTAGTTATGTGAGATGCAGATATGTTTAAAAAGAATTCATTCTGTTCTTTGGCAGATTTGCAGCAACAGTTTTTTTCAGCCTATCAACAGCTCTGTAAAGACAGTAGTTAAATAGAATGTCTTTTCTTTCCAGTATAATAAATTTGACATATATATGTACATACAATTATGTAGTTCTTCTTCAGAAGGGTAAAGAAAAATAAATGATTCCGATAAGCTACTGTAAGTTCTCACACTTCATCTCTGTGACACGTTTATAAAGCAAAGAGCTGCATAAATGCCTAAAACATGAAATAGAAGAGGTATCTAGGGCTTTCTTCATTTCCCAGCTTGTCTCGATAGAGAATTTCTCTAAATCAAAAGCAACACATTGATTTCTACAGAGGGCAAATGGATAATAATGTCCTGAAGACATATAAAGCTTTCCCTCTATTCAGATCATCACCTACACATAAAAAATTGCCCATATCAGAATACAGAAGACTCCATATATTTTTTAAAACAATTTCAAACATGAATGAACCGTGACAGCATGAAAGCATTTTGCAGGTTCTCTCATAATAGCCATTGTGTGTTGAAATGCATTTTTAAACAACTCTCTGGTTAGAAACATTTGACATGATTATAGATTTTAACAATCACAACAGCATCATCATATTTTTTAAGAGAAACTACATGTATAAGACAGCACTCAGTCTATAGACAATGCTTCATAGACAACGATCTCACAGTCTGTTCCATCCTTTTGCTGTCTTCACCCCACTCATGACCTGAATCCTAGGCCTCCACACTGGAAACCATTGCTATAGGTTAGAAAAGGGCTAGGAGTGGAATAGATGGAAATGACCATTAGTTACTTTCTTATCCAGTACTCCGAAGTTTTATTCTCTTTTAAAGGGTAAAGAGCAGCATTTGATAACTCAGTGGGCTTATGATTAAACAGATGCACAGCTGCTCAAAGAGACAGTGATGAGGGAGAGAAGGAAGGAGATGAAGGCAGGAAGGGAATTAGGGAAAAGGGGATGGAGAGAGGGAGGGAGAAAAAGAGAAAGAAAGAGAAGGTGATTGATGGACCTTTGATGTAACTATCCAGAATAATATTATCAGGAGATTTATACAGAAGCCATTTTAATTTCCATATATATTCCAAAAGGCGTGTAACACACCTAACCTACCGAACATTACAGCTTAGCTTAGCCTTAGTTTTGTACGGCTCCCAAAGGTCTTAATCTAGCCGTGGTAAGTGCACCCGAGATAAGCAAATATAACAGAAGTTAAAACTGCACATCTGTCCCAAAACAAAACAATGACCAGTCTCCGAATGGGATTTACAAGAAGGTCCCTGACTTAAAATGGTTCTATTTGTGATTTTTCAACTGTACGATAGCATGAAAGTGATTTGCATTCAGCAGAAACTGTACTTTGAGTACCCATAAACCACTGTTTTTGACTTTCAGTATAGTATTCAATAAATTACATGAGATATTCATCATTTCAGTAAAATAGGCTTTGTGTTAGATGATGTCGTCCCACTGTAAGCTAATGTAAGTGTTCTGAGCATGTTTAAGGGAGGCTAAGCTAAGCTATAATGTTCTGTAGGTTAGGTGTATTACATGCATTTTTCACTTATGATATTTTCAACTTCTGAAGGGCTTTTCAGGATATAACCTCGCCCCAAGTGGAGGACCACCTGTACCATCATGTTCCAAAACATACTGTTACGCCATCTAAGCAGAGATGCCAAAGAGGGTGGCTGCAAATCCACTGGCTGCCTTTAGCTGACTGCCCACCTCCAGTGTGTTATCAGAGGCCAGACAGCAAAGAGAGAAGTGCAGGTGGACCTAGAATCCTGCCTGCCTCCCAAGCTTGCCCTCACTTCAAGCCTAGCAAGGGTGGCTTCAGGGATACCAGATGTCCCTGGGACACCACAGACTGGTATCTGACTCTGCCTGGAGACTGCGAGGCAAAACACTGGGTATAGCCCTATAGGGCTGCAATCGGGAAGTGACCACACTGCCAACAAGCAAATGGGGGTCATACTAGATAGATCCAGCTTGGGATTGTCTCAGAGGCCACCAAGAACTATCAGGAAGAGGAAGGAATTGCCACTGGCCAGCTAGTGGAGACGCATTTGTCTGCAGCAAGAACACCTCAAGTCAGAGATTTCTGGGGATGGAAGCTCCCCAAAAGACCAGTGCCAAGTACCCACAGAGAAAGTCAGCATTAGAAACTTGGCAAGCCCAGTGCATGACACTATGATCAAAGCAGACTTTTCCTGCCAAGCTTTCTCTTCTATCTCCTTCCCACAGCACCTGAGAGTGGCAGACTCTCTGGGTACCAAGTAGGGCATGAGGAACCTGGCGGGACAAGCAAGAAACAGCTTCCCAGATATCCCTCCCTCCAGCTCTACCCCAGACAAGTTAATTGAATTAGCTTCGAGTTCGCCTATTATACAGGTTTGGGCATTTTAATTACTGAAATGAGATCTGTATGACTGGAAATGTCTGTGGGGTATTTCACTCTTAGAATACGAGAAAGGTCAGGGGACCGGTTCTAATTTAAGCCAAGGGGCAGAGGAGTACCAGCGCCACAGAGCAGTCTCAACAGTCCTTGGTTAGGTGGGTAGAGGGTTAAATTATTTTCTGTTGGCCTTCAAGGTATATCTGTAACAGCAGAATTTCAAACTTCTAATGGCCAAAGCAAAAGATATGAACTGGACAGGTCTTCAAAGAAAAAAAGAGCTCCAGTCTGAAATTTGCTGCGACATTTACACAGAATGCTCATCAGCGTTCTAAAACCCAGCAGAATCTCTTCATCATATGACTTCTAAATGAACATATATTTTGGCATCAATATGTTTAGCATTGACATAATAGTCATATTTAAGAAAAAAAGGAGTAAAGCAGATTCTAGTCCTATAGACAAAGAGATTATGGCCAATGAAGAGGTTACATAAGATTATTAAGCCAGCCACTGGCAAACTAAGCCTCAAGGTTTTCAGCTCAGAAAATATCTCAGATAGTTCCTCAGAACTGGAAGGCAATCTCTGCTGTAATGATTTACAAATAAACTTAATACAAATAAAATAAATAAATTATTATAGGAATAAGAAAGAAAAAGAAATAACATAGGCAGATCAAGAGTAACCAAATTCGCAGAGGAACGGAGGGGAAGACTTTTAGACAACAGTGAAAAGGTGATTTTATTTACTGGCAAATGCTATTTACAAAATAAGTAAAAGCAGCTTGAGTGGTTGGTCAATACCAATCCAGATACGGCACAGAAATAGTGTAATGGAAGTGAAGGGATGCAAGGATGGGAAAAGACAGAGAGCCATGTTGTAGGATGCTGATATTAGGGAAATGCAGGACACAGAGGTGTCATGTGTGTTCTGAGAAGGAAGCAGGCTTCCCTCACCAAGACAAGAAAAAATGTGAAGCTTGGATCAGTGTTTTAACTATAGCCAAAGAGAAGGGTAGGAAATGTCAAAAACAAACAGTTGGTCAAAAGTAGTAGTAGTTCAGTTACAAAGAGAGAGATGAAGACTTCAAATTATTCTCAGCAATATAACATAGAAGCCGTAGTTTTCAAAGGTCATTAGAAGTGGTAAATTAAAAAACAAGTTCCCTTGTCTTTAAAGGGCTAAAAAAAATGTTTTAAGACAAATGAACATGAAATTGTTGGAAAACACCACTGAAAGGGCACTGGAAAGATAGCAAAATTCTCAAAATGTTGGATCCTAGGACGAGAAAAATAATGAAGATAAAATAAAGCCATCAGTTAAGTCAATCTTAAAAGATTCTTCACATAAGTCGCAGAGCAAATGAAAACAAAACATTTCAACACTGAAAAGCCTCACTGTTTTGTACTCTTGGGAAAAAGTGGAGTAGGAATATCAGTCTTGAGGAGACTTGGATTTCCATTCAGAATCCTGGTGTGTTAAATATTAGAAGGTACCTTGGTGTATTTCCTCTCTCCTTTAATTTTTCTAACAGATAAGGAAACTGAGACCAAAAGAAGCAACATAACTTTTTGCACAACTTGTGACAACGTGGGCTCTAAGAATTAGCCTCCAGAATCCTGTAACTGCCTTTTTCTACATGGTCATTCACCTTCACTGCTTAAGATTATACGGGGCCTGGCACAGTGGCTCCTGTGTGTAATCCCAGCACTTTGGGAGGCTGAGGCAGAAGGATCACTTGAGTCCAGGAGTTCAAGACCAGCCTGGGCAACATAGTGAGATTCCATCTATACCCCCCCCAAAAAAGGTTCTATGACTATATATATAATTGTCTTCTTCTACAGTACATACAAAAATATAAGGACCAAGCAGTGGAATTTTGAGATTAAACAGTCAAGTTTGTTTGCAAAAGATACACAGTATGAATAATAAACACCTTTCTGTTGGCCAGAGCACATAATAATTACAAAACAAACTATATAAAAACTATATGGTTCTAGGGATGGAAAGTACTTTAATATGCCTCATTTCAGATGAAGCAAAACCAGAAACATAAGGTTCTCTTTAGAGACCTGTGAAACACATGTTCATTACAACAAAGCAGTTAGTTTGAACACTAATAGTACAAGCCACCACTAGGAAGCAAAACAAAAGATTAGAGGCAATAGCAAGCATGCACTTTTAGATCACAATTTCTTTGCAAATACATGGAAACACATACCCATTTTTCCACATCAACTTGCTGTGGAAAGAAAAAGCCAAAATAAATAACAAACAAACAAATACCTAGCAATGTTTCAATGACTATCATTTAAATGAATTGATATCAATTTGGTCCTTGCACCACAATCTCTTTCCAATTCTAAGGCATAAAAAATTGTATTCCAGTTTTTAATTAACAACATTTAATCTCACCAAACAAATAGAACTAAGTTAATTTAGCAATCAGAACTCTAAAAGACATTAGGCTGGAAATGCATCAGGTACATGAAATAATGAAAATCCAATATATTTAAAAGCAAACATGAACATTTCTAATTCTCAAATGTAATAGGCCTTCTGATTTAAGAACTACGACTCTCCTCTAATTATAAAAACTGATTTAATTAAAAAGACCAATTTAGAGATATAGTGTCTAACTACAATTTCTCTCGCGACACTTAAAGTAAAATTTCTCTTACTCTAATCTTTCTAGCATTTCATACAATTTCATAATATAAAAGCATGCCTTAACAAATAGTTCTGAAGTTATACGGGAATCAAATTATTTTTTTAAATTGTATCTATAAATGAATCTTAGTCTCTTAATCATTATGTGGCTCTTTAAAATTTAAGTGACTATAATCATACCCACATTGTAAATAGAACAAACAAAAAAGTCATTTGTCAACCAAGACTATCTTCTACAACACCCTAGGATTCCTTGCAAATAAATCAGAATAAAAAATTTCAACATTGAGGGACATACTCAGTCTCAAAGGTAAGTTTCCTTAACTCACCTCCCATCTATAGAATGTCCTGTGGGAGCTGTGGTTTGCTTCACACCCTTCATGTATGAAAGTTTCTTTGTAATTTTTTTTTCTTAGAAAACTCATTAATTAGGTAAGAAGCTAATGCTACTTAGGCAGAAATCTTGGGCTATTAGCTAGGAATCTCCAATGCCTTGGTAAACAAGCTTTTGGGAAGCAATGTGCATAAAAAGCATCATACAGAGTGATTCTTTTAAAAACGTTATAAAGTGATATTTAAAAAAACAACCTAAATATACAGGTAGAATTTTATGAAGCCCTAATGAAATTCAATAGTTTACTTTTAACAGAGCATTTTGGCTTATTTTGTAATTTACTTAGTCTTCAGAAAAATCTGTTCTAAACTCACTTCCTCCTTTGCATTTTACAAACACACTGTTGTTATTTAAGAAAAACACTTGACTGAACAGAAAGGCCTGATTTTCACTATACATTTTTCAAAATATTTTGTTGTTATAGAAAGTTGAAGATTGCCTCTCAAACATTAACTTACTGGAGTGATGAATCCATTTCTTTAGATCCTGGGGCAAAGGGAAGCAAAAGAGGCATGTCCAGCATAGTGCAATTGTTCTGTGCACTTTTCTACCTCTAAAAGGGCAAATTTTTATATTTATTCTCTCCCCCCAAAAAATCTAAAAAACTTAAATGACTTCCTTTTCACATTTATCAGGAAAACAGAATATGCCATATTTTTAGTGCTATCAATGATTATCAAAAACATTGTATTTTGCCATCATCAGGTTCACTTCCGCATGTCAGTCATTCACACATACATACATACACACACCCACACACACACCCACACTCCCGTCAGTGCAAAGATAAAGTCATGGGATTTTTCCAGAAGAAAGAATTTATAATCAAGAGTCATAGTTACTAATGATAGTAACAGGAGTTCTTTAATGTTCTATATTACAAAAGACACAGTTCTTCAAGGAGCAAGAATTAGGAGCAATAATGTAACAAACAGAATATCCAAATACCCAAAGAAAAGCTTAGCAAAAGCATTGCTGGGAGTGAATTATCAGCTAGACACACAAGACAAGACAAATGGTCCACAGGGTTAAAAGACTAACATACAATAAAACTGTAATTATGCATAAGCAATGCAGAACGATTTCATGACACGTCTCTTGTTCTTGTTAACAGGAATCATTTAAATTCCTGCAAATGGTGAAAAGAATGATTCAAATGGAGCTAATCAAGAAAAGGAAATACAAAATTCACAGTAAACTTAACCATTTTTAGAATTTAAGCAGTTACAAATCCATAAAACATATAAGACAGAGGAACATTTTTTCCAATAACTTATCCAAGTATGTGGAATATTAAAAATATATATATGGATTTTATTAAAGAAAATGACTATTTTAATATCTGCAGGAAATTACATTAAATGTCTTATCATATTAACACTAATAAAAAGAGCAATTTCATTTCAAAATTTCAAAATAAAAACAAAATTCCCCTTAAAAGAAACAATAGTTATTTAAACACCAACTTGATTTAGCAGAGAGGACATAAGCATCTAACACAAAATAATTATTTTTAAATTATATCACTATACGAAAGGCAGATAATCCAAATGACATCTCTATTTTTGCATTCTTTTTTTTTTTTTTTTTTTTCTTGAGACGGAGTCGCACTCTGTCACCCAGGCTGGAATGCAGTGGTGGGATCTTGGCTCACTGCAACCTCCGCCTCCTGGGTTCAAGCAATTCTCCTGTCTCAGTTTCCTGGGTAGCTGGGATTATAGGTGCCCGCCACCACACCTGGCTAATTTGTGTATTTTTAGTAGAGATGGGGTTTCACCATGTTGGCCAGGCTGACCTCGAACTCCTGACCTCAAGTGATCCACCCATCATGTGCATTCATATTTTAATTACAAATTTAGGGCACATAAACATGAGCTCTTCTATAAACTTTTTTTAAAAAAAGTTTGGTTGCTTCTTTCGAATTGATTAACTTGATTCTACTGTTTAAGATGGATAATTCTGTTGAGTTAAAGCAGTTACCGTGTGGCAGGCTTTGAGCCATACATTTTACATGTAATCTTATCATCTGCATTTTACATACTAGAAAACAAATGACATAAAGGTATTACATTTGTACGCAAATCTTCAACAACAAAATAAAATGACACAAAGCTACTAAAGCTACTAAATTTTCTAGAAAGTTCATTATTATGCCTTTCCCCTGAAAGTTGCAACACACCTGGTGTTGACTTTTTATGTAAGATGGTAGGGAGGGAGTTAAGAATCGTCTCCTCACCCACCCTCATGTATCTATCCAAATGACCATTTATTAAAAAAATACATCTTTTCCCCATTAGCACTGCGTCATCACTTACTAATGTGTCCAGAGACAAATGTGTGGATCTACTGATGAACTCTACCCTGGTCTATTTTTCTGTCTCTGTCCTAATACCCAACAGTCTTATTGCAACATTAAAATAAGTCTTGATATCCAGGAGTCAAAGACTCTAACCTTGTTCTTTTCTTCAAAGTTGTATTTGATAATCTTGCTCTTCTTCATTGAGAACTGGCTTTTTCAACTTTCATGCACACAAGAAAACCTGCTGGGATTCTGATTGCGATTACATTGATCTACCCAACCAATTGGAAGAGAACTGTCATCTTTGTAATACTGAGCCTCCCAATATATGAACAGGGCATATTTATCCCTTTTTTAAGGTCATCTTTATTTTTCTCAAAATGTTTTTCAATTTTGTGTGTAAAGGTTTGCACATCTTTCATTAGAGTTATTCCTAGGTGTGTGTTGTTTTATTATACTAATATAAGTGAAATCACTTATTTTTATTTTGTAATTGCTTTTTACTAGAATATAAAAATATAACGGAATTATTTATAATGAGCTGTGACTTTGCTAAGCTCAGTTTTCCCAACTTTATTCAACATGGCCTTCAAAGAATTCAAGATTTCACCAGTTTTGCATTTGATAATTTCTATCAGTTTAAGTAACTTTTCTTACATGCCAACTTACTAATATTGCAATGAATAGGCATTTAATATTTAAAAATGTTTTTATAGTATCTGTTAAAATAAATACATTTTTCTTTTTTTCTCTTAATAAGGTAAATGACAGTAATTGGTTTTGAATCCCAACTTGGTTGTAATAGGCTATTGAGTTATCTGTCAATGGGATGGATTTGCTAACATTTCATGGAGGATTTCTACACCTATGGTCCCTGATGCATATTAGTCTATACCTTTATTATTTTTTTTTGCAAGGTCTTTGTCATAGTTTAGGATCAGGGTTATGTTGACCTCATAACATCGGCTGGGAAGTATTATGAAAGAGTTTAAGATTGGTATTATTCTTTCCTTATATGTTTGGTGGAATTAACCAGTGAGGCCATCTGGGCCTGGACTTCTTTGTGAGAAGGCTTTAATGATCAATTCATTTTATTTAATAAATGTAAGACAGTTGATATTTCCCACTTCTAGTGTTAGAGATGGTAAACTGTATTTTGCTAACACTATATTGTTTCTAGAAAGTTTTAATTACTTTGGAATAAAGCTATTCACAGTATTCTCTTATTATCTTTTCATAGTTTAGAGGTTCTCCAGTGATTTCCTATTTTCATTCCTAATATTGTTAATTTTATATTCTCTCTTTTTTGTATTCAGTCTTTCCAAGGGCTCATCAATTTTATTAGTCGTTTCAAAAAACCAGCTATTAGCTTGGATGATTTATGTTTCTTTCTACTTCATAAATTCTGCTTCTTATTATTTCTTCTATTTCATAAATTCTGCTCTTTATTATTTCTTCTTTCTACATTTTTCAGGTTTAATATTTTCTCTTTGTGGTCTTCTTGAGATATTTAGATAATTGATTATTCAGTTCTTCTTATGTATTTAGGGCCAAAAAATTCCCTCTACTCAGTTTTAACTGTATCCACAGTTTTAGCTACATCTCATGTTTTCCACTTTATCCAATTAAAAATATCTCATCATTTGCCATTGTGATTAACTTGTTGATTCCTAGACTTATGGATTTGCAATTCCTTTCGTTACTTATTTCTTAATTATATGATAAGAAAGGAATACACTCTTATTTCAAACCTCTGAAATTTGCTTATACTTCCTCCATAATCAATTTTGGTAAATGTTCCATCTGCACTTGAAACAAATGTGTACTTTCTCAGCATATGGTGCAGTGTTCTATAAATGTCAATATATATGTTAATTAA